TTACGTCCATCTGAGAGTCAAGACGTCTTGATACATGCAAGATAAGAAGTAATGACGAGTCATACACACTTGTGTGTGAGACAAATCATCCCAAAGCCTAAAGAATTCCTGCAGAGAATTCTAGATTTGGGACACTGCAACCGCTCGGTGAAGAGATCTTAATCACGTGACCGAGTACATAATCCTAATTAAGCTCCTCAGGATCTTCTATGCGACGTTCAAGGGTATGAAAAAATCGATGCGGGGTTGTCATGCATTAGAACAATTTGAACCGCATAAAATCGGTCAAGGTCAGATGTTGCGTTGTTTATCACGACAAACTGTTTTCCCTTTCATACGAACTCGCCCACTTTATTAGGCTGGCGGGGAAGAGAATTGGTAACATTGTCGGTGAACGGAGGTTGCGGATGTAATGCGCAATAAGAAGAGGTTTTGCAGGATTTTCACTCTCATGTCATGACCACATGGACATGAACATGAACGTGAAAGCAAAATACCTGGGTATCTACCGGCTAATGGACTGTGCTGTGCTGTGATAGTGGGCGAGTGATGAACATTTGGGAATTATGCTGATCGTTATATCTTCACTTGTGACGAGGGAATATCAGATGACTTATTAATAATCTAGGATCTATGTATCCGATCATCTTTTCTCAAATTCAGCTGATTAAGGTAATCTAGATATATACCTAACTATTGAAGCTTATTTTGTTAATTCGTGTTTGTGGACTCTCTTGTGATACCCCAGGGCTTTCGAACTATCTTCCTTTTGGTCCAATGAGTTCCATCCAATCCGACCCTGGAATCGGAGATATAAAAAAAACCCCATCACTTCAACCCCTTCATGAACAGTGCAGCCCCAGGGAAAAATTCGGTAAAGTAAATTGGTGGCTGTAAAATTTGAACCTTTGTAGCGGAACCACACAACCCCTACAAAATCCATTTTGCAGAAGAGCATCGACCTAGAATCGAGATTTTTTTATGGATTTGGCGATAATAAGACCGCACTCGATATTTAGCCCAGTCGTCATCGTGAATATTTTATGCATGTTGGATGCAAGGCTTATTAGGTATCAGGTAGCGGAAGCGATGAATAGACAGACAGACATACATACATACATACGAGTGAGTACCATAGAATGAAAAGGGAAGATTCAGATTGATCACTTATACCGTCCCGAAATACCTGGATCAATCACGTATAGAGACTCAGAGCAGAGATCCCGCCCATGCTTTTTTCATTGCTTGGCTTGGCTTTCCACACAGAGTAGAGGGAGTGGTGAGGGTACTCGACTAACTCAAGCAGATCCGACAGATTACAATACTATAGTGAACTACTAATATTAAACGATCTACATATAGCTTTCACATTTTTCATTTTTTTTTCCAAACGAATTGGTTCCCAAATTTCTGAAATACCCGCTTCATCTTAATGTTTCTTAATACTGGTCCTGAGGAAAGTCGTTCTTGAATCACATATTTTTTGTAAATAGTCAGGTGTTCCATCAACCGGTAGGTTGGCGTCAGTCTTGCTCTCGTGTTGGATTCGAATGATCTACAGCGTCTACGAAATGAGGAAGAAGGAAAAAAACCCAACAATAATTCCGCAGCTCAAAACGGGAACAAGGTTTCAATATCGATTGTCTATAGGTAATCTAGTACATGCAATTATTATTATACATACTTCACAATTTGACGTGTTTGATCCTCTTACGTTCTTTTACACTTTTCTTTTCCAAAAAATACCAAATACTTTCCTATAATAGGGGAATATACTCCGAACGCACACTTCCAACTCGAGGGAACCTTTTACCGCTTCTTTCGCCCACCTTTCCGACCAGCCTTTCAAGTAGGAATTCGGATCCCCACTACGCGTACCGCCGATTAATAAGTTTGAAGAAGAAAACTTATATCATTCAGAGAAAGTACTACAATAGATTCACAAGTCTCGGAATTTAGATCTTGAATTTTTCGGTCCGGCACATCACAAAAGAAAATCTACGAAGAACCAGGTACCATTAGTTTTGACGTCAACGTTACCGTACAACAAGCTTTCGTACTACACACACCATACAATATACATCAACCTCGAAAGCATAGAAGATAGCACGATAATGGTGTAAAATAACATTGGTGATCATGTTGGAGGAATTTAGAAGTTGGAAGGAAAAGCCCGATCCATAACATATAACGAAATTCCCCTCCATCCTCCCCCTCATTTCGAGACGAAAAAACTCAGATGCCATATTCTCCATGGCACCCCTTCCAACACACATAGCACGAACTGTGCTTCAATTTTCCTCGAGATACATTGGAGACAATACGAACGAAGGTCAAGATGTATCGATATCCGAAGGATTAGTTTTGCAAAAACTTGCATTGACATTTGCAACTGCTAGTGTTGCTTCTTCAATTCTAGCTTTTTATTGGTTTGTTAGAATGAGACGTTCGTTCAGACATGAGTGAGCTTTACCCCATTTACCCCTCCATTTTTATGTCCATGTACTGATAAACGATTAGTCTCATTATGTTATTAATTCAAAGTGATATGTTTAAAGCTTTATGGTTTATGGTTTTTCCAATCGTCGTCTTTTTACATGGTCCTGTAGCAGATGATTCAAAATTTTGTCAAATAAGTGGATTTTTTCTAGCTTTAGGAATTGAAGCTTCAGGTTTGAGATACCCTTCCATATGTGTATCAACATTTATTAATTCGAGTATAGATATTTCGGTTCTTATGGTTGCTGTACATACTGCGTTGTATATCTTCAGACCTAGATCCTCGTCTGGTGAAGGGGGCCTTTATCCATATCGTAGGATAGCTTACACCATTTGGATAGTCTTTCCGCTATTGACGGCGTCTCTGGCTTTTGTTAATGATCATGAAGCTTATGTTGCTCAAGGAACGTACTGTTATCTACCAGTACGACCTTTTTGGTATCGGTTGGCTTTAAGTTGGATCCCTCGATACATTATTTTCATCACCATTGTCACTGTCTATGTTTCGATATATTTCTATGTACGATTTAGGTTTCGTGGATTCGAGAACAGTCATTCTCAAGATAGTTGTGATTCGACCAGACGCAATCAAGTACGAAGGAGTCTACCTCCTCCAGCTCTAATTCTTAATGGACCCGTGACTGAAATAAGACGTCCTTCCGCTGCGTATGTTACCGAGAGAAGGAAACAATCCTCGTCGACTTTGGAATCTCTCGCCAATATGAGGAACAATGCTCATCAATTCATGTGGACTTCAGTATTCCACTCTCGCAATCGAACTCATTCTGTATCTCCTCCATCAGAGATCTCGGCACCGGATACTGACTCATATGCTGGAGCATCAACACCACAAATCGTATCCGAGATAACCACTCCTGCTCTCTTGATGCCACAACAAGTACTCAATCCACTTCCTCATCCTCAATTTCGAAATACATCATGGAGAGAAAGCATTGCCAGACGACTATCCCTCGACTCGAATGGTTCCGTATACATACATCCCGCTACTCTTCAACAACAAAATGGATCAGCCGAACAAGGAAATCCTTACGATATGCATCTTGTCAATTCTCGAGGTCAAGATTTAACGGTATCGGAAATGATACGTACACGAGAGAAAATCCGTCGTCAACTTCGATTTCTATTTATTTACCCTTTGGTTTACCTGGGGATGTGGACGGTCCCATTTGTATCTCACATTCTACAATTCAACGATAATTTGGCCGTCAATCCGCCATTTGCGATTAATTTATTAACTACAGTTTTTGTTTGTGCACAGGGTGCCGTGGATTGCTGGTTATTTTCCACACGTGAGAAGCCGTGGAAACATATTCCCGGAACGGATGGAACTTTTTTCGGGAGTCTAAAATTCTGGGTTATCTTTTTTGGGAAGGGGAAGGAGAGACAGGGACATGGGCCGGGAAAAACGAGAAACGAAATGGCTAGGGAAGCGCGACAAGCGTACAAGAGAAGAGATCAGGAGCTGGCGCAGAGGAGATTTGAGGCGCAGGCGGGTAGTGGAGTGGTAATGGAGAGAGGAAGAGGCGATAGAAGTTGGTGGGATGTTGAAGGGGCCGATGAATTGGGAACGGTTGGTGTTGGGGCCGGAGTGGCGGCCATGACGCCTGTTCAGGAGGAATTTTCGATTTCCACGGATGGGGAATCTGAGGAAGCGATTGGGCCTTCGGAGCCGATCTGAGAAGACGATCCCGTTGATACGAATGCCGACGGCTCTGCAGTTAATGGGAAAGAAAGAAATGGTGATGTTTAATGGTTGAAGGGCATAGAGTATATGATTAATCAATGACGGTACATACATCGGTAGGCATAGCGTTCGAGCATTGCATAATACGGCGGCATAGCATATGGGGAAGGCATAGTCAAGGTCATACATCCCGGCGTTTGAAACGGAATCAAGCATTTTTGGGAGTTAAGGTATTGCATATGTATAAGCATTGGGTATGGATATGGGTATCGACCGGCGAGTCTACGGACCCGGTATTGGGTGGGAAAGGCGTTGAGGTTACTTTGCTTGTATATAAATTCCGTATTGTCGGATGAATTGATATATATAGAATTAAATACTATCTTAAATAAACCCGCCGCGGTCGTTTTTGTTTGCCGTTTGTAGGTGCTTCTTATTTATATTTCTGTCGGGTAGGATGTCGGATAGTTTGGACAGCCACTCATAACCAGGAACTGTTGACGCTGGGCAGCAACACGATATACAAAACCAGTGTTTTAAATCGTTTGAATCTTATAGATGCAATTGGAAATTGCACACTTCTATTTCTTAGAAAGCACTCGCTTCGATCTTTGGAACTCCAAACCTAATGTGGTAGTCTCACCTGACGTTTGTAGTTGCTCTCTCAATAGAGAAGGAAAGAGCACCAGGCAATGTTTACTATTTAACAAGCACTCATTCGGACTCTACAGACTTGTTCAACATCATATTATTTTCAATAACTACATCATTTAATACTCTATCGTTAGTCACAACAATGAACGGGAACCACTCGAATAGAAGCCGCTCTAATGGGAATCGCTCCAACAGGAACAGCTTAAATGGGAACTCCTCGAATGAGAACATCTCGAATGGGAACCAGCCATCCGGAGACATCTCGAATGGGAATGACTTATATGAAAACATCTTGAATGGGGACCACTCATATGGAAGCATCTCGAATGGGAATGACTTATATGGAAACCTCTTGAATGGAAACCTCTCGAATGGAAACCTCTCGAATGGATACATCTCGGATGGAAACCTCTCGATTGGGGACCACTTGTATGGAAACAACTTGAATGGACCGTCGCATAGCTCAGCGCCCCAAATTGATTGGAAAAATTTATTTCAGATCAAAAAACATTGGCTGGAGAGATGTCAAGCTGAATTGCAAGATTCACAGTTAAAATGCTTGCAAGTCCAAGAGCAATTTCGAGAATTACAGGAAAGCTACAAGGAACTCCGAGTGGCATGGCAAAATTTGTGGACAGGGCAAGAAAAAGATTTGCAGCTCCGGGCGGAGACTGGAAGAGCTTTTCAAGTATTTCAAACTGCGTACGAAGAAGAAAGAAAACAACGACTGCCAACTGAACTAGCACGGCAATCATTTCACGGCAAGTTACAGAGAGGTTTGCAGTTGGGGAATGGAACGGCACAAAATACAGCGCGAGATTCGAACCTTTTCAATTTCCATATTGGTCGCGACCCCTTCGAAAATTTAACACAGCTCGCGATGCCGGACCAATCTCCGCCTTTAAAATCTACGCTCAACCCAGTAGCACCTGTGTTTTCGGCGCCTCGTGATGATACTCGTGCTCATTCTGCTGACTCGGCGTATTATTGTCCTTCATCACAGAAGGCTAAGAATGAAAATGAGCCTGGGATGTTCAATGATTCAGGTACCGCGAACAGCAGCAATGCCAGTCCAATATCCACACCATCCAGACCACCGAATCCGAGTCAAACACTATCCAGAATTCCACGCATGCGATCCGAATTTCCTCGCCTCCATCATTCAGACTCTTACCTGACTGACATGCGAGCCGGCAGAGCTTCTACTCCAGAATAAAAGACAATGTTGGGAGTTGAAGATTCTACTCAGATGTACTTCATATGTCCGTAGCTTGAGCTAGATGTGGGTGAAAATATGGAAAGCTCACTTGCACTCACTTGTGTCGGTCTCCGCAACTCGAGAATTTTTCAACTACAAAGATCCCAAGCTCAAAGCGACCACCGAAAAAAAAATTATCGAAAATCCTTATGTTATGAAGTGTTTTCTATTTGAATTGCGCAAGAGCGAGATCTGTATCAATAGAAGGATAGGCAGTTACCGGGGAATAGGAATAGGGTTATACATCTTTCCAAGCGAACTTCGGTTTTCTTGCTGGACAGTACGGATATCAACTGTCAGGGGGGCGATGTCCAGTGTATATTCATACAGTAACAGCTTGAAAATAAATTTACACAGCATTAGATGATTGTTAAGAAAAATAAAATAATTCTTTATTCGAAATATTGTATACCCCTTCTTTTGTTTGAGCAGTATACTAGAATATCGTTTGCATTCTGTGGTATGATCTCGATTGTATTGCCATTCCCAATCTCAATATCTATATCTGCAACGGAGCATCTCAAATACTTTTCACATCCCCTAACCTCAAAGTCAATAGAGTGTCTTGATCTTGTGGTGATGCACCAGACTGTTGTTGTCCTGGACATCGATCAACCTCCCGACCTTGTGACGGCGCGCCAGACCGCTGTCGTTCCGAAGACGGAGCAACTTGAGGTGTTGTAGCGTCTTAAATTTGTATTAACTGACCGGATTGCTGGCCAGGAGGTTGACCTATTGAATCTGATCGAATCTTTTGTATATAAAGATCACGCCAATATGTAACCTGTGCAGTCAGTGATTGAATTTGCGCATGCAAGTCTGCCATTTTCATCTGCGAATCCACTCTTGATGATCTATCAGATTCATCACTTCCATCCCCATTTTCTCTCTTGGATCTATCTCCTCCGCTAAGATTGAGTTAGTAAATGTTGTAACCACTCATACTTGATGATTGATTTTTGTTGTGGTTTGTGTATATCTTCAAGGGTTGAACATTTTGCGAGAATTCAAATTATAACAATGAGCAGCTCAGCGATTTCTTTCCAATTGTTACGTCTAATTGAATTTGAATTTTAATCTCTAATTGCTTATCCACTGCCTAATCTATTGAGAACTGTATCCTAGAAAGAAGTGAATCTTAAAGTGAAGTCGGAGAACCATTGTTCTCTATTCACACAGTCTTGGAATTTTTGGAACAATAGTGAATACTAATAGAATTGACTTTTTTACACCTTCGTCCCCATGCTCCATCTGTCACTGCATTGTGTATCCTTTCATTCAATCACAACTTTTGTCCTCTTCACAGTCTTTTCGGAATTTTTCGTATCGTCTTATTCATACTGGGTGGGTTTGGCATATACATCTGGGCCTCTGTCGAGTCGTGGTTCTGGATCGAACATTCTTTGAATAGATAATTCTCTTTGTATCATATCTGGTAGCCGAGTTTGAAACTCAATCGTGTCCGATATATGCTTATGCTGCTGTTCCATGACAGTGGCAAGGACCTTTTGCATTGTATGCTGGACATTCTGCACTGCATCGAGGTTATCCGTTTCTTGATCCCGCATTTGAAAATCTTCATCAATACGATCCTTCAACTGCGATGTCCAATTAGTCAATTTTTGGACCGATTCATCCAGCTTCTCTATTTTACCATTGTAGTACTCGAATCTCTGATCTCGGGTCTTCTGTATCATCTCATTTTGACAGTATTGCTCCTCCAGACGTCTTTCCAAGTCCTTGATCTTATCTTGCATCTTCTCGTTTTGATTGTACTGCTCCTCTAAAGATAGCTCCAACTTTTTGGTCGTATCTTGAATCTTCTCGTTTCGAGTAGAATGTTCCTCTAAACGCTGTTTCAAGTCTTTCATCTCATCTTGCATCTTCTCATTTTGATCGTATTGTTCCTCTAAACGCTGTTCAAAACCCTTGACATTGTCTTGAATCTTCTCGTTTTGATTGCGTTGCTTCTCTAAACTTCGTTCCAACTCTTTGATTTTATCTTGAATCCTCTGAAAAGGTGTCGACGAAGATTTAGTTACTTTACTTGCTTTATTCCCATAATTCAAGCCTAGGCGATTCGGGTCATTTCCCAGATCCTTCGACATGTTTGGATTGCTTTGGTTAGATGTATGACTTTATTTATCAAGGGTTGAGGTGATGATTAGCAACGCGTCTCCTGGCTTTACTGGCATCAGCGCTATTCTTGAATGTAATGTGACGAAGACTAACATACTTTACTGAGCAGATAATCGTCTATCGATGTAAAGTGAATGATGAGCTTACACTTAGTGGTAATGATTTTGAAACACGGTACTAGCCATATACTATGAGTGAAGTCTATGATAACAGGACGATGAAGTAAACTATACACTATGAACGAAGTATACAATAACAGAATTTAGTACAGTCTTTATTCTTGTTTACTTTGATCTTTTACGAGATGGCATAAAGAGAGGGGGAAGGCATGATTTGAGTGAGGATACAGGAAATCACACAAGAAGGCGCGACTTGAGCCACTACCTAGACATATGAACAATATTTGGATTATGACTTTAGATATCCTCGTCTCAAACACCTATGAAGTCAATGGCTACTTCATGGCCGTTATATTTACATGTCTCCATATCACCAAGTACTAGTAGTAGTAAGTTCATAATCGATTCAGTCTATCTACAGCTAATACTACGCTGACTCAGTGTAGGCAATAGTATTTCCCGTATTTCGTATACGGGTTAGTTTAGTGGTGCGTATCGAATTTTCTCGAAATACGTACGTATGTAGTATAGAATTCAATACCACTGAAAGTATTCAATATTATTCAGTTATTTAATACTACTAGCAATATACTGAAATACTGGAATCCAATATAATATCTTCATTCCTACATAAATTAGACTGGAAATAAGGGTTTTCATTTCAATTTGAATTAAGGAATACAATTTATCACCTAATTTAGATAGGAATGAAGATATTCCAATGAATTTCAGTATTTCAGTATATTGCTAGTATTCTTTAGATATATAAATATAAACGAGAGTGGTATAACCTCCTTTCTATATATACTAGGTGCAATATCAATATGCTAATATACGCCACAGTTTCACTGTAGTATACTATTGCCTACACTGCGCTGACTGTGCGATGCGCCTAAACGTGCTTTCACTATATACCTAACTCATCAGTGAAATTAAGCGATTACTATTTTCTCATACTGAAATATGAAGAGTAGGAAATCAAAGCTTTACCATGCGCGAAATATGTGATGATTGAAGTCGATGTAACTCACAGTTTTCGTGTTCGCTAAATTCACCATCCTCACAATTCTTCCGTTGTCAATCATAATATACAACTGGACATTATATTGTCATCAAGTTCTTGGTTTATGATTTAATATAAATATATAGAAGGCAGAAATCAGGTTTCGTGAAGAATCTACTCCAAGAAAGTTTATACCCTAGAGCATGATTTCAACTCTGAACAAGTATCTGCCTGCTGCGAAGAAGTATTTCACTCTTGATAATAGAAATCCGTAGAAAAAATGGGTGTCGCTTACAAAAACAAAACAAACTGTGAGCGATTAGGCACAGAGTTCTACGAACCACAAGCAACAGACAATAAACAAGATATCAATGCTGTCATTTGACGGAGATTGGAGGAACACCTGAGAATCAGAGTCTGTTTCCGGAATCGACAACGGGAATTTTCTTCTTATTGATCTTTCGGCAATTCGTAAAGAAACACTCAATTTATCATGATTCATGGTGTAATTTCTATCTGTCTTAGAATTCTAAACAACTTCCTGATATCATCTCAATAATATCATGTAGATTTCAAATCCCACTCCCATTCCACCTGCCTCCCTTCCTTTCTCACAACACCAGTCAAAGTGATCAACCTATCCCATACCCAATCTCCAGCATCTACTATTCCTTAGTCTTCCTCTTCTCCTCGTCTCTCCCGTCTTCCCGTCTCCAGAGTTTATCCATCCTATTCTTCTCATCCTCCTCATCAACTTCATTCCCCCTATTCTCCCCCCTATGCTCCAAGTTCTCACTCAACATACACCTGCACAAACTCTCCATCATCCCCACAGTGCCCTCTACCCCATTCAATTCCCTCCTTACAACCTTCAAATTCATCTCAACCTCCTCTCTAATACTCTTCTCTAGATATCTTAGAGTATCTACCTATGTTTTAATCTGTTCCCAAGCCTTTTGATTTTGAATTTCCTTACCCTTCTTATTATTCTCCTCCTCACCCGTCTGATCTTGATCTTGGTTTTGATCTTGACCCGGGGGATCCGAAGGGTTTGGGATCCGGCTGCCCCGTAACGCGGCATCATATGGGTGGAAAACGCTTGACATTGTGATTTCGTTGAAAGGAGAGAAAAAGATGGTTCAAAATGGAGATGATAGAACTACCTAGTTTGTGGGATTTTTTATACATTCAAAAGAGAAGTGACTGTAAGGGTTATTGAGAATAAACATGAATTTCTACGTCTGGGGTTACAAGAGATCTTTATACTGCAGAATCACGCAAGATCATCATCGTGTGAACTCTGTTTGATATACTTAGCAGTTGGTGAGCGCTTGCATTTCCATGTGATGACTATACTTGTCTACTGACAACTAACAAAAATTTTCCATATAAATTTTTACTTTTGCAATCATTCCCATTTAGACACCTCCCGACAACTTCTTCCACTATGTACAAACTTCCTATTTTTCAACCATTTACTCTTCCATTCCCATTCACTTTTCATTTCCGCATCCACCCTCTCAGGCGTATCCATCCCTCCATCCACCAATTCCAATCCACAAGCAACAAGCAACAATCCACCCTCATCTTTCCAATCTTCGCTTAACATTCTCCCATTCCAATCCAAGGCTCTTTCATACATCCAATTTCCATCAATTATCCCACCACACATTCAAAGCACACCTAGAGTTCCCAACACTTTCTTTTCCTTTCATTTCATTTCCTTTATGTCAACATCCCTACCAACTACTTACTTACATACTCAACCCCCCAATCGAGAAATATCCAACTCAATCTCCCAACTTCCAACCTCCACCACCAACTCTTTTCTCCCCCAAGTTCGTTTCGTAACTTCTCTTTTTCCACGCATAACTTCTCCCTCTCTATTCAACCCTAATCCATCTCATCTAATCACAATTTCCCTATCTTCTATACTTTCCCCCACCCCCCTCATCCGCAAAGCAAAAACCCTCACTCCAAAGATCCCTTAAACTAGTCGAATCCTACTAACCCCAAACCGCCAACACTACATACACACACATACGACACATATATCTCCGAAGATCTCTCCATATACACACATCTATACTAACACAACGTGTAGACTCCCTCACAGTCACAAAAACCTGGAGACCTTTGACTTTGCCCTGATAAGGTTATCTCTTTAAATTTCGACATGCACATTGAGTTTTGTGCATACATGCATGCCTGGGTAATTTGTGCATTTACATACGTATACGCATACATAAACAAGCAATCACATAAATTCCATCTCCGCAGACAGTCTCCAGAGTACGAGTTCAGAAGCTACTCATCAACGAACCCTCAAATCCACAACTCTCCCAATTCCTCAGTAAAATGAGAAAGGAGATGGGCTATAATGCGAGACAGAGAGATAAGTACCTAGGAAGTATACGCGAGATCCCTCCTATTCTTTTCTCTTTGGATCTCATGATTCGCATCGTGAGAAATGGGAGAGAGGAGAGGGGACTAGAGCTATGGGAAATAATCTGATACCGGCGGTGATTCGCTGTATAGGTGATCGTTATATCTATCTAGTTACAAGAGACTTACTGGTTTTTATCTATGCTATGCTATGCTAAGCTATCTTTTTAGATTATCTGATCTATTCAACACTTTTTTGAGACTCAAATCCCAAACTTATAACTCAGTATACCGTGAACTTATCATCACCAAAATCTAAACACCCTAACCCACCAATCCAGAAATCTCCTCTCATATTTCAATATTCATCATTCTAATATACAAAAACGTGTATTCCATTCCCTTGCCTTCCTATCTCAAATTCTCTTAAACGGGAATCCTCCTATTCATCCCCTTTCCCCTTCTCTCCTGTATATGTCGACATCTATTTCTCCATTTCCATTTATATCATCATAAAACAAAGGAAACATAAGTGTAATTATCAAGAATAATACTACTATATCCCAATTCCACACCTCACCCTCCTCACTTCCCCTCCCCTAAAAAACACAAAATTCTTCAATTCTTCAACCCTTCATCTTCATGACAAAGTCATTAATACTCCTTCCTACTATACTCATACAATTCTACAATTCTCCAACGCAACATAGTAAGTGAGGATATCGACAATCAACAATGGGTGTGAGGATGGGTGTGTTTATTAGCTTTGAGATTTTTATCTCACTTCACTTCACTTCACCTCCTGGAAATAACTTCTTCACATCAAATCACCATCACCAAAATCCATATCAAACTTTACAACCACTTCACCACTATCAAATAACTTCACCACAACCACAACCACATCACTTCATCACTTCATACCACATCACTACCACTATTTCACTTCATCATATCCCCATTACACACCCAAAACCACAAATCACAAAACCACACATTCAGAAAACCCACATCGCAAATCACACTTCACCACCACTATCACACACTCAAAAACTACAAATCCACAAATCACACACCCAAAACTCACATCACGCCCACATCCACATCCACATAACCAAAACCACACAAATACAAATACAAATACAAATACAAATACAAATACAAATACAAATACAAATACAAATACAAATACAAATACAAATACAAATACAAATACAAATACAAATACAAATACAAATACAAATACAAATACAAATACAAATACAAAATCTCATTCATAATCATCTCCTCATCTCCTTATAACCATCTCCTCATCTCCTCATTCCACACTACCATCAACAAAATAAGATAAAGTGAAACCAAACCCATTAAACCCATCAAGTTCATTAAACCCATTATTTATATTATAACACATCATATCAAATCATATCCCATTATATCCTATCCCATCATTTCATACTAATCTATATTATATCCCATTATATCCCTTTATATCCCATCTTATCATTTCATAAAAATCCAAATCCCATCCATTATCTCATATCATTTCATTCTATCTCATCCCATTTCATTATTTCATAACAATCTATATATAATATTATAGAAATCCATTTTACATAACATCATATCCTATCATTTCACATCATATCAATCCATATCATATTATAAAAATCCCATCATTTCATAAATATCCATATAATATCAATCTCATCCCATCATATCATACCAATCCATATGATATAATATCATAAAAATCTCATCTTATTATTTTCTAAAAAATCCATATCGAATCAAATCAATCCCATCATATCATATCAATCCCTATAATATAACATCATAACAATCCATCCATATAACATCATATCATTTCATATCATAACAAATTAACTCATTCGATTTCATACCAGCATTACCCACTCCATCAATATCAATATCAATATCAATATCAATATCCATCACATCTGAATCATCACTACATTTCAATTCCCATTTCCGATTCTACCCCCTCCCCTATTCTCCCCACCGGATACCTATATCCTAGCGAGACTGACCGCCATTGTACTGCCCAACTGAAGTAAACCAAATTAAACCAAAATAAACTAACCATCCACCATCTATCCCTTACCAACCCCGCATCCCCTATCCCCTCCCAATTTCTGGGCTAAGCAAGCCTCTTCACCAAAATCTATCTCCCTCTCTCCCTCTCTCCCTCTCTCCCTCTCTCCCTCTCTCCCTCTATCTATTCATCGACCCCTCACCCTATCGTTTCCCCCCCACATTCTGACCATTCAAACTCTCTCCCACCCCCACCTTCATCGAACTAGCACTTCTCCCAAACCCCACCACCTCTGGCGAAACCCTCCCACTCCCATTCCCACTCCCACCACTCATAATCGCCTCCCCGCCATTCTTCCTCCCCTTTTCACTAGGCGTCACACTTCCACTCCCACTCCCACTCTGCGGACTATTTCCCTGCGTAATCGCCGCTCCACCATCGCCTCCCCCAACAATCAAATCACCACCTCCTCTCACCTTTCCCACCACCATTCCTTTCGCTACACTCTTCACAATCGCTCTTCGACTCACACCCGTTGCATCAATATAAACCAATCCCACATTCATGACTCCACCCCCGATATTCCGAGAAATATTACCTGCTTCGGGTCCATACTTATGTTCAACCACTGTAGTTGCCGCGGTGGACGTAGAAGCCAGGAGATTACGACCCGCCTGATCAATACCATCGGCGATAGTAGAGAAAGCCATCATGGATTTATTGAGAATGCCCGGTTTATAATTATCCACCGGCTTACCATCTGGACCGATTCCTCTATGAGCTTTCTGGTTACGTTTTGCGAGAGTAGCACCAATGTTTTGTGCGTATTTTGTGACCTGTCCGACGGTTTTGGCCGAAAGACCGGCGGCTCCTTCGGTAAAGGTATGGACCCTACGAATATGAGCGTGAGTGGTGGGAGTAAAAGTCATGGGTTTAGTGGTGGGTGCGGATTTAGAAGCGTAATTATCGGCTTGAGATGTAAGGGTTTTAGAAACATAGCTGGAGGTGGTTACGATGAGACGGGAGGCCATCGCAGCTGTAGAGACAAGATTGGAGGATTTGTAGGCGGGGTGCATGGCCATTTCAAGGTAAGCAGGAGATGCTGGGGCGACACCAATATTGAGGGAACCATCTTGGGGAAGAGTGATTTCGACGGGATCTATAGAAGTTGTTAGGGATTTGTGAGAGAAAAAAAAAGCGAATGAGGTTCAAAAGTCGGGAACAATATACATACCTTTGGATCCCGGTTTCATTTTCGCATCTTCAACGACATGAAAGCCTTCTCCCAACTCGCCAACCACACTACCATTTTCCTCATCCACCAAAACAATCTGTCCACCCGCATGAGAACTGGCACTTCCCGAAACATAAGCTTCTCCTGGCGCAAAATCCGACGGGTTATATGCTGGCAGGGGTTCCTTTGTAGATTTCGCTTTTTCTTTCTTCGGGCGAGAGGATTGTGGAGGAGGTGCACGCTCGAGGAAAGCTGTGCACTGTGCCAATATGGTTTCAAAAGTATCGACATCATCTTGGTTGATTTTGGACGCTCCTACGATGGGAAATTCGATTTTGGTAAAGATGCCACTGTCGGGTCCTAGATCCCATCGTGGAATTAGGTAGCTGCTGGGTGGTTGGTGATAGATTTGGGTGGTGGCTGGGAGGGGA